AGGTCTCCTGGCACACAGGGAACGGTGCCGAGCCTCGACAAACGCCTTGCCCTGACACAGAGTTCCCGTTGCCACAGGGAGCCCTTCACAGCCGTTCCGGGGACTCTCCGCTGGAAGCTGGTCCCCAGAGCTCCCCCAGACTGGTGCCTGTGCTGTGGGGAACCATCCATGCCAGGCAGGGGCAGGGCAGGCAGGCTGCCAGGGGAGCGGGGCACTGGGAGGGTGTCTCACAAGGGGAGGCCAGTTGGGTCTTGCAGCAGGCAGGCTGGGAGCTATCCGAGCTATCCGCGCTATAAATACACTGGGCGGGTAAACACTTGGGAGGAGGAAAGAAACAGCTATTTCAGCTAATGGGCACGGCTGCCACAAGGTATAAATCGGTCAGGAGTAAAATTAGGCTAGAGATGAGAAGGCAGATTGGTACTGCTGCCCACGAGGCCCTGGCTGCCAGTGCTGCCCTGTCACCGGGGATTTGGTGCAAATGGGGCCAGGCTCACAGCAGAGACCCCATGGCTCAGCCTGGCTGGGGCAGGGATGTGTCCCTGCAGTGGCACGCTGCAGGACAGCAGGACACCCCACTGGAGAGACCCCTGGGCTCGAGGGCTCCTTGTTTTAGCAGGTCCTCTGAGTCCTACCATTTAGGCCAGTCCAACACCATCCATGATACTCATCCTTGCTGCGCCCTCCTGAGAAATAACTGCCCTCTGGAGAGGCAGGATTGGCATCCCTAGGCTTTCATTTGAGGAGCTGGGAATTCATCTGTATTTATCACCACTGCTAATGAGTGGGTACTCAGCTGTTGGGCAGTTACCCTGGTTGATTGCATCATGTAGGTCTGAGCTGCCTCCCCTTAAAGCCACTCTACTTTCTCCCTTCTAAGAAGCAAGAAAAAAATGCCCTGGCCACATCCACGTGGTGGCAAACAAGAACCTGATTCATCCTTAGATAATTTGTGTACATTGCTTTTCTCTTCTTTCCTGAGCAGCCTTTGCATATATATGAAGAAAGCTCTTAAGCGGCACTGCAGTCAAACCTGATCTGCTTTTAGAAGGCAGATCCTTAAATTACCCTCTCCCTCTCTGCAGGCAGGGAATTGCTGGATGTTCTGGTGCAAACCCGTGGTGATGGTGGTGGCTCAGCTTGAGCCCTGCTACTCTGCTGGGCAGGGATGAACTGCATGGCCTCGAGCTGGCTGCAGTGGGAGGACACGAGTTCTGAGAGGGTGACCTGTAGGACGGGTTGGTGTTCTGTTCCTTAGGAGTTTGCAGCTTAGAAACCTGGATTTGGGGCAGCCTCGGCCGGTGGGGCTGGGGATGATGCCGTGGTGATCTGCATGGCTCAAGCAGGTGGTGACAATGGTGTGACACCCTGGCACCAGCCAGGCCCCTTCATGGCCAAGCAAGGTTGCCATGCAGATCTGGGCATCCCAGCCAGCTTCATCCAAGAGCCTGAGTCACCAGGCAGAGCCAAGGTCAAGCTGGGACATCAGCCTGCAGGGTCCTCCTGTTCTGGGGCTGCTGGCTGGCGTTGAAGGGGTGAGCATGCACCTCACTCCTGCAAAAAGCAGGAGAGAGCAGTGATTTGGGTTTGAGGCTGTGACCTGCCAGTCCTCTGCTGCAGCCCTACGAAAGAACCTCCTTCCTTGCAGCTTTTCTGGCTCAGCCATGCAGTGCTGAGCTCTGGCAGCAGGGACAGCACCATCCGGGCACGGGGGACGTGCCCCTGCACTTGCCAGTGGCAGGGTGCTGCATGCCCCAGGCTGCTGCTTGCCCTTTAAGGCCTGGCAGCAGCTGATGGCCACGTGTGCGCTGCCTTGGCACTCTCTCCGTGCCCTCTGTGCGCGGGCTCGGGGACGACCAGCGCGCCGGCTGGGGTGGCTGTGCCCTGTCCGGTGGCTGTCCCTGCACCAGCACAGGATGAGCAGGTGCCCAGCGGGCGCTGCGTGGGGTGAGGGTCACCATGCAGGCGGCAGGTGAGGGGCTGCCCTGCCCCACCATGGCCTCGGGGATTCCCTGGGATGCAGGGTGGACGACTCCTGCTGCCCTTGCTGAGGGCTCGTCTCTGCTCTCCCTCCAGGTTTCAAGTGCCCCATTTGCTCCAAATCTGTGGCTTCTGACGAGATGGAAATGCACTTTATCATGTGTCTGAGCAAACCTCGCCTCTCCTACAACGGTAAGGGCCAAGCTCTGTGGGGGAAACGGCATCCTACCCCTTGGGATGACTCTGGGCAGGCTGGAGAGACTCTTGCTGCGGGCAAGCAGCTCAACTGGGCTTGCCAAGAGGGCTGTTCTCCAGTGGGATGGTGCTGCTCCCCTTCCTGCTCCACTGCTCCCCCGGCATGGCTCAACTCTGCTGCTTTTGCTTTTGGACTCCTTTGTAGCACAGCCCCCTGCCCGGGTTGCTCTGTGCCAGAGGGAGCCTCCTGGCCGGGTGTCCTGCCTGGCGAGGGCAGAGGACACATGTCCCTTTGGGCTGCCCCTCTGAGGGGTCATTGCCTTCCTCCCCTCCTCGCTGGCTGGGAGACTTATGGGGCTGAGCACTGGGCTGAGCACTGTGCTGAAGGCTTTTGGCATCTCCCCCCTCCCTCCTGACCACTGGTGTGGGAGGGATGCTCGCCTCCTACTCGGTGGTGATTTTTTAGAAGCCAGTGGTAGGGGCTTTGTTTGCTCCAGCTGCCCCAGACCCTGCGCCTCCACCTGAGCCTCCTGCTGGTGTTTTACAGTGCTGCTGCTGTTGTGCCCCATGGCAGCTGCACCCACAGCAGGGCCGTGGGTTCCCCTTCATCCCAGGGAGGGGAATGCTGTGGTGGTCCCCGTCTCACCCTCTGCCCTCCCCTCCCAGATGACGTGCTGACCAAGGATGCCGGCGAGTGCGTGATCTGCCTGGAGGAGCTGCTGCAGGGGGACACGATAGCCAGGCTGCCCTGCCTCTGCATTTATCACAAAAGGTACCGTGAGGGGGTGGCCAGGCGGGCGGCAGGGGCCAGGAGGGGACACCCGAGGTTCAGCAGCACAGTGGTGACACTCTCCTCTCACAGCTGTATAGACTCATGGTTTGAAGTGAACAGATCTTGCCCGGAGCATCCTTCTGATTGACCCGCCGGGCGTGCTTGCTGACTTCTCTTTAAGGTGAGCCTGCGGTGGGCTGCTCAAACGGGGTATTCCCGTGCTGGCTTTAAATCCTGGGCCAAGGAGGGGAGGATGGGGTGGGATGAGGTGGTGTGGGACAGCCAGGGCTCGGGCTCCTCACCCGGGATGGTCTCTCTCTGCCTTTGCAGGGCACCTTGCTATACCTGCTGTACCTCCTCTCCCTGTCCCCCCCGCCCCGCCTGGAGTTTTGGGCTGACTTTAAATTCCTCAAGAAGACAAAAATAAAACCCAGAAACTTGAATCCACTTGGGACAACGGCGCATTTTTTATTTTATTTTATTTTATTTTATTTTATTTTATTATTTTTATTTGTTTCGTTGGGGTTTTTTTTTTTTGCTTGTTTTGTTTTTGTTTGTTCGTTTGTTTTTGTGTTGTTTTTGTTTTTTTTTTAATTTAAAAGATTTAAAACGAAAAGAAACATCCAGGAGAAGACAGTGTGAGAAAAGCGGAGCGACCTGCTCTCCCCTCCACGGCCGCTGGTCACCAGGAGAGCTCTGCCCGCCCCAGGGACGCCCTCGGCCGACACCCTGCCATGATGTTTGGCTTTTCTCCCCGAACCGAAAGGGGAAAGCTGCCGGGGGACAGCCGGCCAAACGGAGCACGCGGCATTTCTCACCGGCAACCCCCCTCCTCCCACCCGGACTCGCCCGGGGGCTCTGCTCGGTTTTTTTGCACTGACTAAACGGGAAATTTCTCCTCTCTCCCGTCTCCCTTTTGGAGATCTCCACCCCGGCCCCCCCGGCAGCGTTGAGATGGGGACTCTGCCCCACGCCGGGAGCGGGGCCACTGCTCCCCCCTGCTGACTCGCAGGGGTCCGTCTTTCAAGTGTTTACAACGAGGAAAAAAAAAAAAAGGAAAAAAAAGGAAAAAAAAAGAAGAAAAAAACAGAAAATGGACAAAAAAAACAAACAAACAAACAACAAACCACAACTGAAGCTTTGTGTTGACTGGCGTGTTCTTCGATTTGAGCTTCCCTGCCCCGGTGATGTTTACAGACTGGTCACTCTTTAACTCAGCTATAACCACTCAGAGACTGGAGAGCCGCAGCATCCCCGCCGCCCCTCCCGCGCCCCCTCGCCGGGCTCCTCTTGCCAAAACCACCCCCCCCTCTTTCTTTTCCATCGGCTTTGAGTTGGACCCTCTCGAGGAGGGTATGGGGAAGGCCCCGATGGGCCCCCGGCCACCCCTGGCCATGGGAGTGGCTTTGCTGGAGGTGCCAAGATGGAGTCATTTCATGGCAGTGACCCCTGCCCTGCCCATCCCCGTCCCCTCCTGGCGCGGCGGGCGCGTTTTCGTTGGTGAGACCTCCCCTGCCGGTGGCCGTGCCCCTGCGGGAAACCTTTCTGTATTTATATATTAAAAAAAAAAAGGGGGAAAAAAAGAGTTCAGAGCTTGGGGGGAGCTTCCTTCATTAGTCAAGGTGTTTTGATATGGTATTAAAACAATGTTCAATAAAATATTCACTGTTATTTTATTTCACTAGCTTTCTTGGTGAAGCAGATGATGCCGATGGGGTGCTGGAGACCCCCACCCGTGTCGATGCCCCTTCCCCATGTCTGCCATGTGGGGATGGCCCCAGTGGTGCTCAGCAGGTCCCAGAGATGGGATGCCATGGGGGCCATGATGGACATTCCTACCCAGCACCACCAGCACCATGACTCAGGGGAAGAGACTAAAGTGGACCCCCATGGTGCCCTGTGAGTGTCTGTGTGTGCTGCCTGGGACAGGGACCCCCTAGGGAGGGGCTGGGGTGTCCTGTCCCCCAAAAGACATCACAGTACACGGAGGCTACAGGTGCAAAAGGGTTTATTTGGGGTTTGGGGATCCCTGACCCCCCGAGGTGGGGATGGGGGGATTTGTGGGGACACAAAGGGTGGCAGTGCAGGGCAGCATGGCCACCCCAGCCCTGTCTCCAGGGATTGCAGCCTCCCACTGCCAGCTCAATGCCAGCACCCCCCCTCAGAGCACCTTGCCAGGGTTCATGAGGTTGTGGGGGTCCAGTGCAGCCTTGATGGAGCGCAGGGTGTCCAGCCCCTCCTGGCCCAGCTCCTCCAGCAGCAGTGCCCGCTTGCCCAGCCCCACGCCGTGCTCCCCAGTGCAGGTGCCCCCTGCCGCCAGCGCCCGCCTGCGGGACAGAGAGGGTCAGGGCACGGAGACATCTCTCCAACTGTCCCCCCAGGGTGCCCCCATCCCCACCTGCCCAGGCGCTGGGTGAAGGCGTGGATGCGCTGGGCCTCCTCTGGGTCCTGGGTGTTGAAGACGAGGATGCAGTGGAAGTTGCCATCGCCTACGTGTCCCACCATGGGTCCTGCAGGGCTGTGGGTCAGATGAGGTGCACAAGGAGGATGGTGACCCTCCAACCCACCCCTCTGTCCCAGGGGGCTGTGGCCCCACTGACCAGTGAGGCCAGAGTCCTGCAGGTCCTGCTTGGTCTCCACCACCACATCGGGCAGGCGGGAGATGGGCACACAGACATCCGTGGAGTAGCCCTGGGGTGGGCAGGGCAGAGCTGTGGCAGCTGCAGTTCCATGGGCGCTGCAGCCATCGTCCCTGTCCTTGTGCCTGTCCCTCACCTGGCAGCCGGGCCGCAGGGCCAGGGCCGCGTACCAGGCGTTGTGGCGCATGGCCCAGAGCCGCCCGCGCTCCTCCGGCTCCTCCGCCCACGCCAGGCCGGAGCCACCGTTCAGTCGCACGATCTCCTCTGACGGTGACCGGGAGCCCTGGCATGGGACCCACGGCACCCCCAGGCACCTGGCCCTCACCCCAGGACCTCCAGTGCCCATCCTGGGCATCCATCCCATATCCCAGGATACCCTTGGTCCTCCCATCCCTTGTCCCTGGGCACCCATCCGTCACCCTGTGACCTGTCTGGTCACCCCTGTTCCGTGTCCCTGAGCCCCTCAGCAGACCCCCGGCCCACATGCCCATCCCTCACCCTGGTGTCTTCCCAGTCCCCATCCCAAGCATGCATTCCTGATCCCTCTGTTCCTGGTCCGGGGCACCCATCCCTCATCCCAGGACAACCCTGTCCCCCGTCTCCTGTCCCTGGACACTCATCCCTCATCCCTGGGTGTCCATCATGACCCCCAGCCCCAGGCACCTGATCCTCATGCCTATTCCCATCCATACCCGTCTGCCGCTGCTGCTCAGCCAGGCTGTTACGGGAGCCGTGGAGCTCCAGGAGGAGCGTGGCTGCCACCGGCAGCCCCATCCCGCTGTAGCGGCCACAGGCCTCTGCCATCACCTCATCCAGGAACTCTGGTGAGAGGAGGCGGCGCTCAGTGCCACCACCAGCACCTGGACCCGCGGCCCCACCTCTGGCCCCGGGCACCCACCGATGCGGGCCACGGGCACGGCCGCCTGCAGCACCTGCACCGTGCACGCCACGGCCGCCCCCACGCCAGGGAAGGAGGCGATGGTGGCAGCAGTGGCCTCGGGCAGCGGGTGCAGGCGCAGCGTGGCCTGAGTCAGGAAGCCCAGGGTGCCCTCAGAGCCCACGAAGAGCGAGGTCAGGTCGTAGCCGGCCGCCCGCTTCCTGTGTGGAGCTGGTGAGCAGGTACACACGCAGGAGCAGCCAGCCCAGCACGGCCCCCCGGCCCCCAGCACCCACCTGGCCTGGCGCCCGGGGCCGGCGGTGTGGAGCAGGCGCCCGTCCGGCAGCACCACGCGCAGGTTGAGCACGTTGGGGCGCATGGTGCCGTAGCGCACGGCGTTGGTGCCCGAAGCGCCCGTGGCTGCCATGCCACACAGAGAGGCATCTGCCCCGGGATCTGCAAGCAGGGGGTGGGAAGGGGATGGGGATGGTCTCCACTCCCCCATGGACACCTCCAGGACCCCAGACCACAGCAAAACCATGGGCAACCCCAGCAGCACTGGGGCCATGGCCCCTCCGGTCCCATGGGCACCACTGGGACCACAGCGCACCCATGAACACCCCAGGAGCCCCAGCATTCCCAACATCCCCAGCCCAAAATCATCCCCAGCACCCTCAGTGGTGTGACCCCCGGCCCCATGGCCCCCCCACGCCCACAGTACCGACAGGGAACCAGAGCCCGGTGCCACGCAGGTGGCTGTTGAGGGCCTTGCGGGTCACACCGGGCTC